CACTTGTTGTTGTTGAAGAGAAGAAGAAGAATCACGTTTTAATACAATCAATGTAAGTAAATTAGCTGGAATGCCTAATATAGCTAATGAAATACTTACATGTGTGATAAGTATACCAGCTATACCAGATTGATATGGATTTGTAAAATGACAAATTGTAGTTGAATTATTCATTCGTTTTTTTGTATGTTTGTGTTTGTGTGTGTAAATATTGCAATGATTATAAATGTTTTTTTTAGAATCAACCAAGTTATCACTATCCAGAATACACATATAATCATTATATCACATTATGTAGCATGTATAATTTTAAAGAAATAATTGGATTCATCTGCAACTACGTCTTTTAGCATAGGAAATTGACTTTAATAGAATTTATCCAATTCATGAAATGATTGTAATAATCCATTCATATATGAGTATTTGTTTAAATTCTCTTTAAATGACAACATTCTTTGCTGATGTTTCAATCACAGCCATGATCCTTATGTATATTTATATATTCTATCTGTGGATATTGACACACAAACATACATGGACACAAATTTATTTTTGAAAAGAAAAACAACACATACACACTAGCCTAGATGTCATTTCTGTTGGATATTACAATTGGGGAAACAGTCGGTTAAAATAAATTTTTTTTAAAAAAAAAAAAAGTTAGATGATGTTTTTTTAATAGTTAAAACAACTGATTGGCTCTAGTTTCTGATTGGTAGATACAAAATTTATAGAGATCTGTGAAAGGAAAACAAACGTGTATTATGCGCATTTACACACATACATTGCTTGTTGTTTTTTAATGTTTAAGAAAATAGTGGCGTTCTGGGGGGAGGGGAGGGGGAAAACAGAATCGGGTGGCTTTTTGTACACCGTTTTCGAACTTTTAAAACGAATGTTTTCTTGAAACTTAATTTTAGTAGAATAAAATAAAACAAAGTATTAATAATCATAATCAAAATAGGTGTGCGTCTTTTTTTTGGATGGAGAGTGGCATAGTTTTGTTCTACAATTTGTTTAATTAGCCTTGTTGTTTGTTTTTTTTTATATTAAGACCACGAATTGATCCAAATCAGAAAACCGTTGAAATCCTGAAAGCATTGAATATATGTTTCATCATAACATAGGACTCTTCAGCAGTGCGTATACACGAGCTAGGTTCTAAGCCAAGGTCTTTTATCTCGTACGCTCCTAGACTTTCAGTGGTTGTTTAGCTAATTTCGACTCGTGACTTAAAATTTGAAAATATTTTATCAGTTTACAATTTACCCAGTTCTCAACTTGTTTGATACTACTAAGTTAATTCATGGTAGCGGTACTTACTTTATAATAGTCGTTTCAGATGCAATAACAGTTTGTAAAGCTTTGTCACTTAAATGGATGCTCTTGGCGTCGTTCAACTCTTTCATGATTATTCTGGAAAACAACAGTGATCAGTGTAGCTAAACCGTGTCAGATGTGAGACAGTTACCCACCGAAAACAATGAATGATATCATCTGAATGTTATGAATTCATTAAAGTTAGATATTAACACCATAGGATGATGGCTCAGTTGTCTAGAAGTTAGGCTTTCGCACGTCGAAATGAAGGTCCCTAGTTCGAGTCTCGTGCAGAATCGTGAATTCGCACTACTGATAAGTTTTATACTAGAACAGAACGGCTGTCCAGTGCTTCCAGGTATTAAATGGTGATCTAACTCAGATCGGTTTATGATTTCAATGAAATGGTAAATTTGTCTGTTTAGTTAAGTAAACATAAGAACTTGTACATAGTCTTCTTTATTGAAAGCTATATTCAACAATCTCATGTTTTAATATTGCTACAGCTTAGTATGACTGGGCGTTTTAAATTTCTAATGGTTGAATCTGTATTCTATCTCGTCTGAATCAATATAAATTTTGTCTTTTAAAAATATTAATGTTGTATATCCATTTTATCATCAATGAATTGCTTGATTAAATTTATCAAGTAAACATGGACTCAATTCATCAATTTCTCACCTTCCATAATTAAAATTAAATGTGAACTAATAAGAATACGACGTCTCCGAGGTCATCGGCGGGAGTTTCGGGAAGAATAAGAATACTATTTCACATGAGATTTATTTTACATTATGGAATAACTCGTGTTTTTATTGTTTAAATGAAGCAATGGTCCAGTAATCCATAGCGATCTTATGGAGTCTTTAAATACTCGTTCTTCACGACAACAATATTTATTCTAATAGTTTGATTTCTTTTCAATTTAAATGGATTATGACCACAAGTTTTTCGTAATCAATTAATAAATTTTCTTTTCGCTTACACGTATATAAGCAGTCTTATTGGATAGGTTCTAAAATCTTTAATAGAAACTAACTAATCTCATTTATTATCATGTATACACTGTTCTGTAGATTAGACTAAAATTGACTGATTATTTTATCTAAAATGTTTTTGTGGATTCATGTTTCATGTATAAAACGGTTTAAATCCTTTTTGTAGTTTTTATCATGGGCTAATCTAAGTTAGATAGACCTTGAGAACTGAAAAGTACTAGAGAGTTGTTTTGTTCTAGTATGTAGCTCCTTAACTCTATGTATACACATACTTCACTAGGAATCGAACACAGAACGTTCAGGTCTCGTGATAAACGCTTAACGTTTAGATCACTCAGCTGGTATGCAGTGGTTTACATTTCTAACTCTTATACATTTGTAATATTTCAGTTCTGTCTACTTGATATTATTTGACTGACACTAGTTATTAGATCAAGTGTGTACATTGTAAGCTGCTTGTCTACCAGTTCAAACAGAAGCTCTCTATAAAACGTTTGTAATGATGGTAATGTTTAGAAAAATGATAAAAGCATCATGATGAAATGAAACGATGTATAAAAAAAAAACACTCAACACCACCCTATGAAACTGTAAAGGGTATTCAGTATTCAATTTAAATGCTACGATGTAGCCTTCTGTTTATTAATGCTTGAAAATAGACAAGAAATGATAATCATATTCAATATACAATCATACGTTTATTTTTCTTAATATGGTCAGATATTAAATGAAGATAGATAAGTGAATTTATTAAGCACCATTATCATAATTATGCAACTGATCATCATCATAATTATTGTATTCATTAGTGCTTGAAGAATCTAATATAGTCATTTATTGCGTGTGACAAAAAGAAGCAAATTGGAAAACGAAAAAGTTTATTCAAAATTCTATGATAGTAAAAAAAATTTTAGTCGTTTGGTAAATATATTTCTATAGAAGGATAGAAAGATTGCATAATGAATTGATTCGAGACTTCAATTATCAAATATGGCTACGCAATAACCAACGGATAAGAGAAGAATAGGACGATGGAAATAATTTACGGGTCAGAATGAGGAAAGATAATCGTCCACTTGACAGATATGAAGAAAGACGAAAAACGCAAAATTCATAATAATAACTGAATAATATTTTGAAAAATTATTAAGGATAATAATAACTGATCACAGTTTAAAACTACAAAACACTAATTTGAAAAATCACACCAAAACATACCACAAAGGAGAATTAGGGCCAAGGAAGGAAGTTCGAGCTTGAATTGGTGGATCTCCAATGCTTCAGAAGTGCATAAGTTTTTTATTCGACCTCCCTTTTATCCAGTTCCTTTGATTAAGTAGAATATTTTAAAAGAAGACTCCTTCGGAGCGCTTGGAAAGTGGTCGCTTTGTGCGACCAATGTAACTTGCCCCACAGGAGCAAGTAAATTTATAGATGCACATTGGTGTGGCCCAAAGCGGAAGTTTATCCTTAACACATTCATGAATAGTAGGTCGGCTTGAGAAAACAATACGAAGCTTAGCTGAATAGAACGTTTTATTCAGGGATTTTGAGATCCGTTTATTCAAGATTCTCAGCAGCCGTGTCTCCTTTAAGTTCCATATTCATAAAAAGGGTTTTCTTTCGTACTGTCGGTGATTTTTCATGATGTCTAGGTGTTAAGTCGCTTTCGAAGAATCTAGGTGAATGACCATTCCTAATGAGAGTCTGTCGAAATTGAAATAGTTCCTCATCTATTGTGTCAGTAGAACATATTCGCCTGATCCTTGAGGATAAAGAGTGAATTAAGTTCCTCTTTCTACTCGGTGGGACCCAACTATGGAAATTCGTGCACTGCCAATTCCAGGTTGGCTTCCTATATATATACTCCTGTAAAAAACCATCCAGCCTTATTTCCAATCGGAAATCAAGAAAATGAAATTCGTTGTTTGCCTGTGCTTCCAAAGTGAATTGAATTGAGGAGTGACAGTTATTGAAACTACCCAAAATTTCATTGAGGTTCATGTCTTCTTCACAAATAATGAAAGTATCATCCATATATGACTTAATTATTGGTTGAAGTACCGTACTTTTCAGATTGGTCATGAAATAATCAGGCAAAAGGGTTGTAAGAAGGTCGTATAGTTGGAAAATGACTCACCATGTAGTCAAGATGGTTGTTTTGTTCCATTGGGGACTCGTTAATTGGGTGTAGTATCTTCATCCCACTATTGATGTTCAAACCGATATTCGAAGGACAGTGAGTTTCGACGTCGAAACGAATACTGAAGTGAAAGTACATCCGACAGGACGAAATGCCTGTCTATGTTTGTAATGTTGTATGAAATGAATTTAAATATCGGAAATCTAATTAATGAGGTCAAACCAGTGCATAACATTTGACTGAGAACTCATCTACTATTTATCAGAATACTGTGTACTCTGTATCTGAGGTCTTAAGGTTGAAAGTTTAAAACACTTTATGCTGAAGTCGAATACTGAACGAAGTTCAGATAACCATTATCTTGAGCAAATACGTGCAACCGATGAGTCCCAAAGAGAATAAAACTTTCATCCTCTACCTTACTGTCAGATTATTTACAGTGAGTTGTTATCAATGTTGGCTAAATAAGTTGAACGGATTCTGATCTGTTTTATCGTTCTGTCTATATGTCTTTTTCTTTAAATTTTTTTCTTCTCAAG